ATGGTGGGTTCTGTTCAGCAGAATTGAGAGCAGTGCATCCAAGGATAAAAGCAGTTTTATCAAGAAAACTATTGAGATGGGACCTCTCCTACCAAATAGTAAAATATGTTATAAAAAAATACAGTAATCAAAATCCTATGTGGTAGGTATATGTATTATATTTCTCAGTCTATAAGTGATGAAAGAAAGGCTTAGGCAGTTTAAATCATTTTCCCAATGTGAGTGGAGGACCAAGATTCATAATCAGGTTTTCTGACTCCAGCGCTCCACTAAAAAGAATCCTTGAATTGGCAACTGTTTCTTTTTTTAAAGACTTTTTATTGTGATTTAGGTGAAAATTTACAAGAGAAAATGGGTTTTCCATTCAACAATATATACACATTATTTTTTTTTTTTGGTGATGTTCATTGCAATCCCTACAATGTAACAAAACTCTTTCCACTTTTCCCTGTGTTTACCTTTTCCATTTGTCCTTCTTTCCTATACCTTTTTGCCTTTATTCTGAGCTTTATTCCTGGGCAAATGCCGCCCTTTTAATCTCATATGGTTGATTGTTGTAAGGAGTTCATACCTCCGTGGTGTTATTGTTCACCTTATAGGCCTATCGTTCGGCTAGGAGCTCTGGTGGATAGCGGTTAAAGTATTAGGCTTCCAACCATAAGGTCAGCAGTTTGAACCCTCCAGCCATTCCACAAGAGAAAGATGAGGAAGTCTGCTTCCATAAAGATTTACAATCTTGTAAACCCTGTGGGGCAGTTCTACTCTGTCCTAAATGGTTGCCATGAGTCACAATCGATTCGATAGCAGTGGGTATTTTGGATCATTTGGCTGAAAGTTGAGCCATGAGGGTGAGTTCAGTTCTGGGCTTGAAGGATGTTGAAGGGCTATAGTCTCGGGTTCCACTAGTCTCTACCAGACCAGTAAGCCTGCTTTTTTTTTTTTTTAAATGATTTTGAGTTTTGTTCTACTTTTTCTCCCACTCTATCTGGGGCCTCCTACTGTGATCCCTTTCAGAGTGGTCACTAGTAGTAGCTGCTCACCCTCTAGTTCTTCTGGTCTCAGCATCCTGAATGCTAGGGTTCATGTGGTCATTAGTCCTTTTGATGAATTGCTGCCTTGTGTCTTTGATTTTCTTCATACTTCTTTGCTCCACATGGGGAGAGACCAATAATTGTACCTTAGATGGCCAGTTATAAGCTTTTAAACCCTAGTCACTACTCACCAAATTAGAATGTCGAACATTGTCTTTGTGGACTATGTTATGCCGATTGAACTCAGTGTTCCACAAGACTGTGGTCCTGAACCACCAGGCCCAGTGACTCATTCCCTCAAGGTGTTTGGTTGTGGTTAAGTTTTCATAACTTTGCCCCCTGTATGCTCTGCTATATTCATGGAGGTATTTGCACCACATGTAAGTATGTATGTAGAAACACACCCTGTAAAACCTATATATATTTGTGGGTATAGTCCCATTTGCCTTCCCACCCCTGTTTAGCTTTAGTGTCTGCATTTCCATCCATAGATTATTGTTATTGCTGTTAGTGTTAACACAAATTTATTGGAGACAGATGGGAAAAAGAAATGTATGGAAAAAAATGTATTGAGATAGAGTTGAGTGGAGAAGTTTGTTAGTCTCAGTTTTTCCCCGGGTAATACAGTATGGCTTTAGAGGTTATATAAAAGTGGATTAGTATCTTAAATAAGGGAGCTCTGGTAGCATAGTGGCTAAGGCACTTGACTGCTAACCAGAAGGCTGGTGGTTCAAACCCACCAGCCACTCCTCAGAAGGAAGATGGGGCGATCTACTTCTGTAGTGATACTGCCTCGGAAACCCAAGGAGGGGTTGCTATGAGTTGGGTCCAGCTCGACAGCACATAACGACCACAACAACATCCTAAATAAGGTATTAGACAAGTTTTTAATCTTGCTTCCCCAAGTTACACATTTGTAAACTACTGGTGATGACACCTCACTAGGTGGTTAGTGATGATTAAGACAATGAAAGTAATATTTCTTAATAGTTAAAACATGGCATACTAGCCGAGTGATCTTGGGAAAGTTGCTTAAAGTTTTAGATTCTGATGATTGGTATGAAGAAAAATGAGGAACCAAACCTATTTTCCAAAGAAGTTATAAGAAACTAAAGATATAGAGGATAATAAGAGCATGGATAAATATATTCATAGCTAGTGAGCCAGGATTCAAACTCAGGCTATCTGCTTCTAAGACCTAGCTTTTTAATTACTAAACTATACTGTATGCTAAAAAACAGGAAATTAGTAGATGACTATGGGGTTAAGATTCTTAATATTTTTTGAAACTAATAATTTTCTGTCAGCAACCAAAGTGTTAGGTTGTTAAGTGTATATTGAAAAGAACCTTGATAAGTGGAAAATATTTTCTATGTTTAGTAGCATGGATCTTGAAATTATAGAAGTCTATTGTTTGTCTTTCTTGAAATCAATACCATGAAAATACACTGAAATAATGGTTTTATATATAGTTAGATTATATCAAAAGTGGTAATTATTTCAGCAGGTTTCAAACAAACCCAGCGGTATCCCATACCCTTTGTTTCCATTTAGAAAAGAAATTTTAAGTTACTTAAAAAATTATCTTTTTTGTTAATTTGAAGACAGGGTTAGTAGAAACCTTTATAGAATGTACACAGGAGAACAATAGTTTTAGCAGATCTAAGAGACCTGTGTCTAGATATCAGAGGCAGAGCAGGCAATGGTTCGGATTCAGATGATCTTGAAAAACCTGGAAATTGTTAAAGGTCAAGCAGGCAAAAGTCTAAAGGTTGGAAAAGTTTGAGGAATGGCCTTGTAGAACAGGAACTAGTGTGAACTTCTAGTGTGAACTAGTGTGAACTTTTGTAAGCTGTTTACTTACAAAAACCACAGCTAAAATGCCTAAAATTACTAGGCTCTTCTTGCAATCTTTACAGATCAACAGACTTGACATTGATCATTTCCCATGATAGGATATTTCCCATGATGGGATATTTCTCATCATCCCAATGCTGGATATGTGTCAACTATTCCTATCATATTATTAATTGCATTTGAACAATCAAAGAATAATTCCCTTGCTCTCAGAGTATCTTCATCATGATGATGTCACATTGGTGGGCCATTTTCAAAAGGTTTTAATTGGTTTAATTTTTGCTTTGAAACATTGGAGTAGAAAGTTTGTGCTAAATGGTGCAAATGGCAAATGAAATAAGTAGGTAAATTTAGATGTAAATAGTGTGTTGTTATCCTTTGCTGATGGCCAAGGCCATGGCTGGATAGATTGTTTTCTCAAATGAATATGCATTAGATAAAGAAAAAATGGGGTACTTGTGATACTAATTTTGCTTTCTGTAAAATTAGTATCCTGTCATTTTTTTTCACCTAAAAGCCAAGAAGAGGAGTAGAAAAATAAGAAGAAAACAGGAAAGGAAGAATTCCCTATATGTTGAGATATATAGCCATTTTTATATAAAGTATTTTTTCAAGCTTATAGTTTATATTATATGAACATTATCTAGTACTAATTTTTATTTTTTCCAATTTTTTAAAAATATATGGGCTGCCGAAATGAGCACTCCAATTGTTTTAAAATTGCTTCTTTTTCTGTACTTGATGTACTCTTCCTTGCTTGGCCCAAGATTTGTAGCTTTTAAAATATTGTCCTGGCTACTTCTGACACAAAAATATTTCTCATAATATAATGAATAGACTCTGAAACTTGCTTTTGAACATAGTGTAGCTAAAGCAAATGGAAGTATTTATGAAATAAATGAGCTGAACAGAAGATTTCAAAGGATGACTTGAGATGACAGAATAAAGTACTGTAATGAAATGTGCAAAGACTTGGAGTTAGAACACCGAAATTGAAGAACATGCTCAACATTTCTCAAACTGAAAGAACTGAAGAAAATATTCAAGCCTCAAGTTGCAAAACTTAAGGATTCTATGAGCAAAATACTGAGCAACACAAGAAGCATCAAGAGAAGATGGAAGGAATACACAGAGTCCCTGTACCAAAAAGAATCAGTTAATCTTCAACTATTTCAGGAAGTAGAATATAATCACGAACTGATGGTGTTGAAGGGAGAAGTCCAAGCTGCACTGAAGGCATTAGTGAAACACAAGACTCGAGGACTTAGCAGAATATCAAGTGAAATGTTTCAATGAACAGATGTAGTGCTGTACATGCTCACTCATCTATGCCAAGAAATCTGGAAGACATTTACCTGGCCAGCTGATTAGAAGAGATCCATATTTGTGCCCATCCCAAAGCAAGGTGATGTAACAGAATGTGGAAATTTTTGAAAAATATCATTAATAGCCCACACAAGTACAATTTGCTGAAAATAATTTTAAAATGTTTGCAGCGGTCATCGATAGGGAACTGCCAGAAATTCAAGCTGGGTACAGAAGAGGATGTGGGATGAGGAATATCATTGCTGATATAAGATGGATCTTGGCTGAAAGTACATAATACCAGAAAGATGTTTACCTGTGTTTTATTGACCATGCAAAGGCATTTGACTGCATGGATCATAATAAATTATGCATAACATTGTGAAGAATGGGAATTCCAGAACAACTGGTGCTTATGAGGAACCTGTAGATAGACCAAGAGGTAGTTGTTCAAATAGAACAAGGGGATACTGTTTAAAATCAGAAAATATTAATATTCCAGTTTTGCAGATGAGGAAGGTAAAGCTCAGAGTGTAAGACACCTGAATAAACTCAAACTCATACTGAGTTGGTGAGTGAGAAGGGCAAAGTTTGACTCCAGGTCTGTCTGACATTAGAACCGATGTTCATAATCACATTACTATTCTCACTTAACCAAACAATAATCACAACATATAATTATGGGTGATTGTATGATGTGGTAGAAATGCCATTCTCCTTATTGACAAATGTGAAAACAAATTATTTGTTTGCCTTAACAATAAAATGCCATGGAGTTCTAACCATCCAAATATGTTCTTCCTTTAGACTTTAATTATCTTGGATCCACTCACAGTGACTGAGGAGGAAATAAGACCATCACTAGAGAAACGTCTAGAAGCCATTATCAGCGGGGCAGCTCTGTTGGCGGACTCTTCATGCACAAGAGATTTCCATAGAGAGCGAATTATTGCAGAATGCAACGCGATTCGCCAGGCTCTTCAGGACCTGCTTTCTGAGTATATGAACAATGTAGGTAACTGGTTTTTCTTCCCACCTTCCTTTTTTGGTACTTTGAGTCAGTGATAATATGCGTTCTGTAGGTGATCCAAGTGGCTTGGATTTCTGAATGGACTCTGCTTGGGCTACTTAGAGGGTATAACATTGAGATAGGAGTTTCTAGAAATGGAATAAAAAACAAAGTGGTATTTACAAGTGATCCTTTTGTTTGAGAAGTATCTAAATATTAGTTGAAGAAGAGAGTCAGGATTGCAGAAAGAAAACAAGGATTGCATGTCAGCTTAAATGATGAAAAGAGGATAAAGAGAGAAGCAGTTGTGTAGGATTAAGGTAGAGAATAATTAAAGGGCATACGAAGCTGAAATTTAGCTAGTATTGGATAAAGGTCAGTTCCGCATGATCATGGACCATGTTTGAAGGTGTAGAGAACTAATGCAATTTGGACAGTTCTTAACCTTTATCAAATGTGTTGTAGTGCCATCAACTTTCTGCAATTTCAGTTTTCTTTCAGAAATATTGGAAATGCTGTGTAAGTTTAGGGCAAAAATAGATGTTTTAAAGTCATTTTCTTTTCATTAAAAATTATGTCTCCATCCATCTATCTGTGGACTGTCTATGTCTTAGTGCCATTTTTAAAATGAAGAAAACTTTGATGACATTGTAAACTATATATTGCTCATGAAACCTCCTTAAAAACAGTGAAACAAAATGAAATATTTATAATGGGAATACTTTGTTCATCTGCCTAATTACTAGTGGAATTATTCAAGAATTATAAAGGTATGGTTTGAGAATTATTACTTATAAAGGATATGACTTTTTGGGTATGAAATTGATGATTTAAGATTGTGAAGTAAAAATACTTCATGTGAAAAAAATCAAAATGTGCTAAAATTAGTTGGTGATTTTTGAGGACCCTTCAACACATTTGATGTATCGCCATACTCTTAATATTTGATGCCCAAAATCTCCTGCCTGTCAAGAAATCAAAGTTGTAAAGCAGCTTTTGTTAATAAGAGGTACATATTAGTAATGTCATGTCCTGCTTTTGAAGCTAGAATATCCCTAGTTTTAGCATATAAGATATTCTTAAAGATTTTTCAAAGTAATTCAACTGTCACAAGCAACTTGGAAGATAACATTGTATTAGAATACTCTCCTCTGCTCTGTAAACTGTTAAAAATAACTATCTTATGGTAAAGTTATACAAATTTATTTACCTTGAAATTATAACATTATAGATAAATTTATCCTATTTATAAATATATTTTTTTATAGAAAATTTAAAAATTTCTTTATACTTATGGGAGCTCTGGTAGTGTAGTGCCTAAGGCACTTGGCTGCTAACTAGAAGGCTGGTGGTTCAAACCCACCAGCCACTCCTTTGAAGGAAGGTTGGGCAATCTACTTCCGTAGTGATACTGCCTCAGAAACCCAAGGAGGGGTCGCTATGAGTCAGATAAGACTTGATGGTGGTAAGTTTTTTTTTTTGTTGTTGTTTATATTTATGTATTATATAGATATAGTATACAAATTATGTTTATATATAAATATAAACAAAAATACATGCACATGTGTATATCAACTACATATGTAAGGAGGGATGGCTACATAATCTGAGGGGCTTGGCCCCCCAAAAATGTGGGAATGGTTGTTCATAAAACAAAGAAAGCTTTTCCTTTATTCAAAGCTCTCACTCTCTCTCAACCTGTCAAGTGTTTTTTATTTGATATTTAATGTTAGGCTCCCTCAGGAAGGGGGTACTTGTGGTGTGAATGCAGACCTTGAATCGTACCTGTGGTGCTGCCCCTTGACTCTGCACTTGGGGCATGTGTGCCTGAGCTGGACCTTCCCTGTGCTACCCCAATGCCCTCATCAAGAGCAGAAGGTGGCTGAGATCACAGGGTCCGGGAGCAGGTGGCTCTCAGGAGGACAGCTAGAGGCAGGACTGTGTGTACGTCTAGACTCCAGGCCTCCATCCTGCATGTTGACTTCACTTAAAAAACACAGATTCAAAGATAAAATTGTTAAGAATTTCACAGTGGTAGCAGAGCATTCAACTCCAAGTATAAGGCTCTCTTCTGAATGTGGGACCCTGTGCAACTAACTGGTTGCGTGTCTTTGGAGCTGCGCTTGATCACAAAATATATCACAGAAAAGCAAGGGTGATTTTATGGTTTCCTCAACTTTGGGTTAAAAACTATGGGGTAGGATATCAAGGGTGAAGTGATGGGAGCATTCTGCCCCCAGTGGAATCATCAAAAAGGTACATGGTCGGTAGAAATTCATAAAAAGAATAAAACTAACTAAAAGTTGCCCTGCTTTTTTTTTTTTTTGTAACCATCTATGAGCAGTTGTAAGCAGTCAGTGATAAACTAATTATCCTCTTGTTTCTTTATATTCTAAATAATTACTGTGGTTATATTGTTGAATTTTAATAATATGTAAGATTCAATGAGTACTTTTGCTGATTATCTTTTTAAAACATATATTCTTTATGAGTTTAAACAGTGCCCAAAATAAACAATGGTAACACTGTGAGTATAAAGACAAAGAACTAGAAACTTGAGTTATTCCAAATTCTGTCATTCTATGTGACCACCTGGAGTTTTATTTGAGTTGAAAATTTCTAACAGTGAAGCACTGTGAACTATGAGGGGTAATGTTTTTTGTTAGGTAGATACACAAAATATTTCATTGGCTTTGAATAATAACTGTAAAGTCAAAATGTATTTTCCTTTTAAAAATAGTTACTTGCTTTAAAGTTAAAGAACAAATCAAGAAAATAGTGATTACTGAAAAATAATTTTGTCATACAGAGAAGGGAGATGTTAAAAATTACTCTGAACACCAAATTTGCTAATAAGCCAGGGAAATACATATATACATGTTTCTACATCCTACCACTTTTCATTCTTAATAAGGACTTAACTTGCAAATGTGTTGCAAGGCCAGTTTGTTATGTGTACAAACTATTTATGCTGCTAAGATTCCTGTGTTAGGTACTTTGGTTTCAAAACAAGGTAAGTTCTGTGTTAGAAAAATGAAGTGATTTTTTTTTTTCATTTATAATATCCTAGTAATTGAAATAAAAAGATAAGTAGTGCAGATAATTATCTTAATTTTTCTCTTTCTGTCTTTTTTTTTCAGACATAGTTGTAAGAATTCAATTATTTTTCAGTTAAATTTTACTTCTCTTCATACCTGATGGAGGTTTTCTTCTTTCTTCCCTTTCCCCTATTTCCCTCTTCTTCTGTTTTAGAAAAGGAGGGCAAACACCCCCTAAAATATTTCCTCTGCATATCAGTTCCTTCTTTTAAGCTCCTATCCATGTTGAAATACATATTTTACTTGTTGGCCTTCCCCATTAGACAGGATCTGGGGCCCCAGGTGAGCAGGGACTGTGTTCTTGGCCCTTAGCACAGAGCCTTTCTGGTAGCAGGTGCTCAGTAATTATAATTGGATACAGGTAAATTGAATTAAGTGCTTGCATCTTCTCAAGTTTTTAAATTAAAATGACAATATGCCTAAAACAATTAATTTATATTTATTTGTATAATAAGCCTTGAGGAAGGGCAGGACTGGTTAATGGTGAGTAAGGGAGCTCTGGTAGCATAGTGCCTAAGGCATTTGACTGCTAACCAGAAGGCTAGTGGTTCAAACCCACCAGCCACTCCTCGGAAGGAAGATGGGGCAATCTACTTCCGTAGTGATACTGCCTTGGAAACCCTCGGAGGGGTCGTTATGAGTCAGGTCTGACTCAATGGCAATAACAAACAACAACAGGAACTGGAAAGGAAAGAGCACAGAGACGAGGAAGCTTGTTCTTTTAGTGATATGTTTTTATGACTTCTGTTTTGCTTTCCACTAGGGCATAATGTAGGAGCTCTGGTAGTGTAGTGCCCAAGGCACTTGACTGCTAAGTAGGAGGCTGGTGGTTCAAACCCACTAGCCACTCCTCGGAAGGAAGGTTGGGCAATCTACTTCTGTAGTGATATTGCCTCAGAAACCCAAGGAGGGGTCACTATGAATCAGGTCTGACTTGATGGCACATAACAACAACAACAGGGCCTAATGTTAAATACTAGTTAAAGAAGGCATTTTTTGCTTGGAAAGAGAGACATTTTTTGTATGGATAATGCCTGGTTATCTGCCATGATGTTGGTGTGCAGAGTAGCAGTAGTTGAAATTCTTCCCTAGTGGGTCAGAAACCCATTTATATACACATTATATTGTCATTTTATTGATAAGCATAACCTATTGATAATTCAAAGATATAAATTGATAACATTATGACAAAAACACTCCAAAGATAATGTGATAGTCCCTTTTCATATAAAAGTAACCCATCAAATCTTACCAAACCAAGGACCATTACAACAATTTGGAAAATTGTGGGGTATATTATCAGAACGTGTCTCCAGTTTTATATTCACTCTAGGTTTATACCACAAATGATGCTTCCTTATATCTGTCTCATCAGTTTTTATGAAAGAGAATGCACTTTCATAGAACTAGCTGAACTCAAATCTTGCTCAGAGTTTTGCTCAAAGACTTCAGGACAGCTCTGTACATGAGTCCTCAACTTCCCACTTTAAGGAGTACTGTCTCCTTGGTGAAGGTGGTTTGCTTTTCAGATCAACCAGGAGCACTTGTAGTTGAGCCATGTGGGCAGAGAAGATGCTTGGTGATAATTCAGTCAGAATAAAGAAAAGCATAAAACTTAAGGAATGATGCATACTCCTAGAATCTGTAGATCTCTTATGTGACTATGACTTCAAAGCTTCTAGTTTTGCAAGTCTATGGAGTTCAGAGTGGTTCAGTAATGGGAACTGAATGTAGTTTACGTTTGTAGCAGGCCCAGTCTACACGTTCTGTTTGAATCTAAATATCTAAATATTTGAATTTAAATATCTAAATATCTTTACTTCCTTAAACAGATCAGACATTCTCTTGATCATGTTTTTTCAGCAACACTCTTAGTTCAACAATTAGTAAGGAAGTCAGATCTT